GTTTCCATCCCTGGTAATGCAGCAGCAATCTTGCGGAATAAAGGCTGCAATTTTGCAAACATAGTAGTCATATGAAAAACGTGAGTAACCAAACCAGAACAAACCAAGAAACACTTGCATAGATATCATGATAGTTATCATGTACATGTAGTAGGTAGAAAAAGTCCTAGTAGGAAATATACCAAAAATAAACTATACATAAAATATTTATTTATTTAGGTAGATTTTCTGTACAATGCCCATTACACAGTTAAATTTCATCTTAAGTTTATTTATTTTACCTTGATATTAAATCCTGCTTTTGCACTAGTTTCAATGAACATGACTCCAAACTCACGAGATTTGGAATCCCCTTCCTCTATAGAGACTTGTCTGTTTAATCAACAAAACCACAAGGTCACAACAGTTTCAAAATTGATAATGAGAATAAATGAACTATTGTGTCTAGTTTAACTTTAATTAACTGAATAAACTCAACAAATCACTAACCACACTTCTCTATTCATGAATTCCAGTGCACTGATTTCCATGATGGTGAAACCAAAAGTAAAAGGAAATGCATTACAATGGAATATTTTCTCTGCATTGTTTCTTATGCTTGCAATGAGGGCTGAATCAAGAAGTTCAGAAAAGGTAATACAATACAGCAGAACAGCAGAAATTGTTGGAAGAAATGAAGATGTTGCAAATGCATGTATTCAAGATGTTGCACTTGAACTGCAGTTTAACTAGAAGGATTTTGTGTGTATGTATATATATATATATATACATATATCCCAGATAAATTGCATGGTAATAAAACAGGAATTTTACAGAAACCATGACCAAGGGTGTCCTGCATTTCTTAGTGTCTTCACTATGAATGGTAAAGGTTCACTTACAGAAGAAAAAACTTCTCTCGTCCATGTTTGATGAGGTTTTATAGAACCAAAGGAGATACATATGTCAAAGTGCACTAAGATGGACAGAAACTGAAATTATTAATCAGCACAAGTACTACATTTTTGCTTGCACAATGAAGAGGAGGGGTACTAGTTTGGTGCATTCCTCACCTTTTATCAACGAGATCAGTTTTGTTCCCCACAAGCACGATAATGACATCAGTTCCTCGTTCTGTCCGTACTTCCTCTATCCACTTATTAGTGTTCAGAAATGACTGTCTATCTGCATGCGACAATTCAGTCAGGAATTTGGAACACAAAATGTATGTACAAGGAGTAGAGATTAAGGGTTGCATAAATATAAATGGAAGTTTCATGTTGTAAGGGCTATGTAATGAGACAAGAGAGCAAATGTACATGGATGTGCACCCACGCATACAGAAGCAGAAGGAAAGAAATGGATTTCTGTCTATTTAATTTCCAACCATCCATTTCTTTTTCCTATCATCGGAACAAAACTGTTTAGTGTTACTAACAAAAAGGATGAGTAATGACAAGAGTTTTCTAGTTTTCAATTAGAAAATGAATTTCATATTAAAAAAGGAAACTTTTGAATTTACAAAATGATTCTAAAAGGGCCAACTTCTCCTGATTAAAACTCACTAGCTACATCATAAACAATCACTGCAACAGAAGAATCCCTGATGTAGCTTGGAATGAGACTCCTAAATCTTTCTTGCCCTGCAGTATCCCTGTAAAGTTAAAAAGCCATGTTTCAGGGAAAAAGAAAAAAGAAATACAAACATGAACTCACAAATCAACAAGTGTGTAGCAGTAACAAGCCCTAAAGTTTGATCTACCAAATGGTCATCAAAAGAACCATGAAGCAGAACATACACCTTTGTCTGTCGAACTTTGTATAAATAAAAAATGCACTAATTGGTTTACTAATGTGGAGCTCTATTCTTTCTAGAAGAGTTGCCATTCACTTTTTGACCATATGATGCACCACAATGAAGATCTAAACCATTGTCAGAATCAAGATTTCAGCCCCATGCAAGAAAAACTCAGAAAACTTGCCACCTTCCCCACAACTCTAATAAATTTATCCAAATTGCTCCTCAAAATAATTTCAGAATAGAAAGAAACAAATCATTTTTGTGATCCATATGGATGCGATGCAACCTCCGACTCACTTGTAAACACCAAACAATTGGATCAGCCTCAAACAAATTGACACCCGCCCACACACACATATATGTATATTGTCATTAACCTTCATCCTAATTCACTACAAAACCATTTACTTAAGCAACCATAAATCACAAGGAACCTGGATGCATCCTTACCAAAGCTGCAAACGAACTGTCCGATCTTCAAGGTACATCGTTTTCGACAGAAAATCAATCCCAATCGTAGCCTGCAAATCCAATATACCCAAAATCACACAAAAGAAATTAAAATTGGGCGATCGGAGCAAGAACTCACCCAAATCGAATGAAATGATGAAGGGGATGGAAAAATACCTGATAGGTGGTATCGAATTTGTCGTACATGAAGCGGGTGATGATGCTGGTTTTTCCGACGGACTGATCGCCCAGGAAGACCAGCTTGTATTTAGCCAGAGGAGACACCGTCGCCATTTTCAAGATTGTTCAGCTCCCTCCCACGTTTCCTTCTTTTGTGGATATTTGGATCTGAATCTCAGAAGAGCAAAGAGGAAAATGACTTAACGCCTTTGTTTTTTCTCTTCTTCGTTTTTCCTTTTTCGTGTTTTTGAGTTCAGCGTTTTATATATGGTGCCGAGGAGAAACCGCCAACCATGACGAAGACCAGCAAAAGTCAGAGATCTTTGATATTTGGTTTGGTGCCCGAATTTGCCCCTCCTCTTTTGTTAAAATTTCGGCCGCATCTGGCATTACTTTTTATTTTTTATTTTTATAAATAATTTAAATTTACAATTGTCCTTTATGAGATTTTCTTAAATAAAGTGAAAACTAAATGACACTAACACTAAACTAAAATTAAACATGTTTGTCAAATCGCACTTTGAAAAAGTTATCGAGTATGGTAGGAAAATGGTTCATGCATTCACAATCAACTTCACATGCCCCTCATGTATTTGTACATGTAGGATACAGAGCTAGTATTGTATATGTGGACGACCGAATCATAACAATTTATGTATAAGACACCCTTAAAACTACAGTTGTACATCTTAAATTGATGAACACGAAATTATACTAGTTATATATGCACTCAAGAATGTTTTATGGGGATCCTCCCTCTAAATTTTTGTTTGAATGTTTTTTGGAGGACCGAAATGAAACTCGTGTGACCGTTGCAGTTAAAAGTCCACCCAAACCTCTTTTAATTTTTTATTAACTTTCTCTTTCTCTCTCATCCTCCCTTTTCCATTGAATCCTTAGGAGGGAGGAGGAGGTCCCGAGACACCAGGGACTTGTAAATGGTGGGAGAAAGTGTAAGAATAGGAGGATGTTGGAGGCTAGCAGGTAGCCCATTACAGATGAGGTCGCCTCTTATTACTGTCACAAGCCGTCGAAGAATTTTTGTTACATTATTTCTTAGAGAAGTCATGGGCAAAAAGCAGGAAAAACATTTCTTAGAATGAAAACCAATGTTAGCCTTTATGTCTTTTCAATTCTTAAAAAGAAATCAAGTTTGAATCTAATCTCCACATGGAGTACATATAACCACCAAAAAAATAAAAATAAAAATTCATGCATAAGTCACATCAACACCTTAAACGGAAAATTTGACAAACTTAACAAGTTAGGGTAAAGTAAAAAATGAATTTAACGTTCATAGGGCAAAGTGAGATTCCGGACATTTTTCTGCAGGAAAAAACATTAATTAAGCATATGCCAAGGTTCTCTTTCCAAACCTTCAATTCTTGAGCTCAAAGAAAGGTTATGTGTATTTTACACCAACATGTGCATGGATGTGTCACTACACGTCATGCATGCACGACAAGTTAGGAGCACATGCACAAGTACAACTCATCCACGAAAGTGAAATCACAACACGCTAAAGAAATAATACACAAGTTAGGAGCTTATGCACAAGTTCAACCTCAACCACATACACATACAAGGGATTTGTGTCAAAAATCACATTACACTTAAAAAGAAATAAAATTTTATTCAAAATTTCTTCAACACAGTTATTGCATTATTCAAAATCTCGTCACCTAATTCCAAAAACTAAAAATAAAAAAATGGGCAACAGGTCTAGCCCTATGAAAAAGGACCTTAATTTGCATATCAATAATCTCATATTCGAATCTCCTTGACACCTTGATAGTGTGTGAAAACACCCTCCCCCTTGTAGTTTAGACTATCGCTATTCACCAAAAAGAAAAGAGATTTCGTCTCCAAAATCCATAAGGATAGCTATACAGTATTGTCCACATTCAACTAAATCTGTCATAACCATTTACAATAGGATAGCTATAGAAAAGGGCAATGCTTTTGTGGATACTAGTATTTGGTTTGGGAATTTTTCTGAGGAGGTGTTGTTACATAGATTGTGTTTTAATTTGTATGGGTTAAAAATCCATCGAGGAAATATTAATCCAACTTCTTTCGAATTGGTCTAGAGAAGTGTCATCCACATGCAACATTAGTAGACTAGAT